ATTCTAATAATGGATCCTCCTTTATTTTATCTTGACTTATACCATATAAATTTGGGCAACGAAGCATTCTAATATACAAATAAGTATATCCTAACCAAGTAACTGCATCTCTAATATTTTGTATAGTACCTAATACTATTTCTGCATTTAACATATCTGACATTTTACTAATTAATTGTGATTCAATAGGTAATTGTTGATTTAATAAAGATAAATAATATTGTAATTCACTGTGATTTGTAATAAGAATACCTTCACCTTTTGTATCATATTGTGGACGACCAGCTCTGCCTAACATTTGCAATACATCTAGAGCACCTAATTCAACCCATCTACCTTTTTCTGGATTATATACCTGAGTTCCTTTAATAATAACTGTATGTGCTGGTAAATTAACACCCCAAGCTAAAGTTGCTGTGGATACTAAAACTTGAATATGTCTATCTGCAAAAAGATCTTCAACTAATGTTCTATCTACTCTTGTCATACCAGCATGATGAATAGCAAAACCATAAGGTAATAAATCTTTAAGTTCTTGATTTTTAACTTGTTCAGCTTCTGTCCTTAAAACTTCCATAGATGCAGATCCTTCTCTAAGAAATTGTCCTAATGTGTCTTTTTCCAAACACATATCTCTAATAGCACGTGCTGTTTTTCCTGTTTCTTTCCGCGAATGTACAAAAACAAGAACTTGATTCCTCCCAGCATGTTCCATTGTTTTTTCATATACAATTTCATTCATTACTTGAAAACGTTTCAATGCCTTTTTTTCTGTTACACCTATATATTGTTGCTCTAAAGCAACAGGTCTGAAACTATTATCAAAATAAAATAAACCAGATTCTGGTTTTATACGTAAAAATGCAGCAACATCTTGATAATTTGGTAATGTTGCTGAAAGACCAATTAATCTTACATCTTCCTGTGTTGTTTCAATATTTCTAATTGTCCTAGCAACTAAAGCTTCTAAAACTGGTCCTCTCTCATCATGTAGCAAATGAATTTCATCAATAATAATCAATCTAACCAATGAAGTAAAGGTTTTTTCACCTCCTTTTCTTGTTATGATATCCCATTTTTCAGGAGTGCATACAATAACTTGAGTTGCAGCTATCTGTTCCCTTGTTAATTGATGATCACCAGTTAATTCTGATACAGTTAAATTATATGTGGATAATCTTTTACTGAAAGTTCCAACCATTTCTTGTACTAAAGAACGCATTGGTGCAACATAAATTATTTTGAATTCATCTGCATTTATTGTACTATCTGCATTTATATGTTTTCCAATTTCACGCATCATACACAAAAGAGCAACATTGGTTTTACCAGCACCTGTTGGTGCACACAGTAATAAATTTTCATCACTGTCTAATGCAGCTTGATACAAATGACTTTGAATTCTATTTAATGTTTTAAAACCTTCAAAAGCTGGTTGCACATATTTTGGTAATTGATCAATAGGATAAAGTTTCTCATTTTCTGCAAATGGTTTTGGTTTCAAAGCAGGTACATGAACTTCTTCATATCCTTTACGCTGTTTTCTAAAACTTCCATCAGGTAATTGACAACGTTTATTTGCCATAAAATGACTACCTTGTGCAAATATTAGATCTTCTAAATCTATTAGATTTCTTGTACCCTGAACTTGACCACCTGGACCTCCAGTATCTTCATTTTCTTCTCTCCGTTTACGTTGTGCCCTTGCTTCCATTGTTTCATCAGCATCATCATCACCTTTACCTGTATCTAACTGTCGTAAAATTTTTGCTAATACAGGATCATCATTCATTTTATTTCGAATTTTTTGACGTTCTGATTCAGACTGTGAAGATGCCAACATAGTACAGTAAGCAATTGTATGTCTATATTTCTTAAGTTGTTTAATGAAATCAAAGCAATCATATCCTAATAAAAGTACTAATTGATTTTCACAGTCACGATCATCTCCAGCATCCTTTAAAACTGCTAGTACTTCTGCAGCTCTTGCTTGTGAGACCATTGCATCATCATATATTCTGCTTAATCTTCTTTGTAACCAATATGCATCTATGTCTAAAGGATGTAACGGCTTCTCTTTCTTCATTTCTTCTGCACCACCTAAATTTTCTGCATGAATAGCTCTATCATCATTAGCTTCTTCACCTTCATCACCTTCGTCATCATTTTCTCTAACTTCTCCATAAACATCTTCATCATCTTCTTCACTGCTTTCTTCAAATTGCACATTAATTCCATATGTTTCATCAATATTTTCTTCATTTGTAGTAGTCTTCTCATCACTTCCAAAATCTGTTATTTTTTTTCCAAGATTTACTAATAATGCAAATCTCTCTTCAGCTAATGGACCTAATAATAATTCTGTTTCTTTTTTCTTTTCTTTTTCCTTAAGTCGATCATTCTTCAAAACTGCCAATACTTCATCAGCAGCACCACAAAGAATATCCCTTGGTTGATCACCTAAGGCTTCTTGAATAAAACTTAGTAATACTTCATAAGTTTGTCGTGTTTCTTGAGTTTTAGGACGATAAACTATTCCTACCATTTCATCTACACCTTCTGAAAGCAATGTTGCACCTTTCATTCGTGTAAAATCATATTGAGCTTCATCTCGTTTTTGACGTTTAACTTTTCGTTCCTCTGCTTTTCCTGGCTTAGTACGTTGTGCCCTATCACCCATTCGCGTTCCATCAAGTTTGCCAACAAGTGACATAACCTCACCAGTAGCTTCATCTCTACTTCTTCTTTCTATTAATCTTACATCAGCTTGTAATACAAGATTAGAATTAGCTTTATATTCATATTGCAACTGTCTTGCTGCAGCGTCTGCCATAATTATTTTTTTTCTTTAATCAAAACGAGACAAATTATTATCTATTTACACCTCCTTTTTATAAACTAAGAATAATTTTCACACATAATTATATAACATTACAAATTATAAATATTTTTATTCAGATAATATATTTTTTTCACTTAATAAATGTAACTTTATCACTTTTTTTATTAAATTTACTACTATTCGATCTTCGAATAATTTTAATGTAACTATCGCGTCTTTGATACGCATGAAAGAAATCTTTCTTACCAATTAGAAAATAGAATTTTCTGATTGGTTGTAATTTAAAGGTTAATTTCCATAAATCACTTTTTGCAAGAGATACGAAAATGTTTTTTATTTTATTAAAATAATTTATTTAAAAATCTATTTGCTCTTTAATATATCTTAATATAACGAATAATACAGGATAATTCAATTACAAAAAATAAAAGAAAAATCTTTTGGTAATGTCTTTTCCATTGAATTTTTGTATAGAAGTTTTTATACTTCTTTGATGTATATGAAAAAAAATTACACCTTTGTGCTTCTAAGGCAATATTACCAAAAAAAAGTTTCTTTGTAGATAGAAAAAATAAAAAAAAATAATATAATTGTGAACTAATAATGTTGAAATAAGTGAAAAATCAATTAGTGTATAATATTTTTTATTCACTATATTATTTTTTTTTTCACTCTTTTTCCAAAAAAATTTTTCTGGGAAATACATTTATAGGCAATCTTTCATATAGACAATATTTATACATATAATAATTTATTTTACACATATTTTATTCATGACATTATGATATATAAATGATTGGTAAAATTTTCAACAATAATAAATGAAAAATATGACATATTATTAGACCACAAAATGATTACAACGAAATTTGCATGCGTGAATTCAAATATTTTTGAAAAAGTATTGTAAAAATTATAACAAATGTATAATTATATCGTATAATTATAACTAATAATTATATAGTTTTGATTGTATATATTCGAAAGAATCAAATTAAATTATATTCATTTTGTATATTTAACATATATCAAATTTATTATGTTTATTTAATTAAAAATATAAATATATTATGTATATAATATATATGTTATAATAATATATTATGTATATATAATTATAATATATATATTATATATATAATATATATGTTATAATAATATATTATGTATATATAATTATAATATAATTTATAATATATTGTAGAACATATTTTATAAATTTATTTATTTATATTATATTTTATTTATTTAATTATTATAATTTTATCACATTTATTTATTTATTAATTAAAATAAATAAATGTCATGATTAAAAGTATGTCATTATTTTCTTTCGATATTACTTATATTATTAGTTATATATACATACATATATCTTTAATTTATTTTAAATAACTTTTTACATTTATACTTACATTGATTAAAAATAAAATTTCATTATAATGGATATTATGACTTCAATGAAAAGCTGAAAAAATAATTATCTATAAATTACAAGAAATTCTTGTAAAGCATTCATAATTTTTTTAAAATAATCGATAAGAAAGATAATATTGTTGTTATTTTTAATTTTTGTTTTATTTATTAAACAATACTTAATTGAAATGATTATGATTTTAATATCAAAAAGAAATATTTTAATATTTTATTGCATATAAATCCTATCTTTTTTTAAGTGATTCTTAAAAATTTTTTTAAGTGAATATTAAAAATTTGTAATTCAATTTCATTTTTTGTTTTTATTTTCCTATTAGAATTCTTTATTTTATTATTATTTTTCGATATCAAAAAACAGCAAAAAAAATAATATTATATGTTAAAAATATAAAAAATATATATAAAAATATATATAATTAAATTATATTTCAATTTAATATATAAAAAAATTTGTTATTCTTTATTTATTTATTTACAAATATATTAACTTATCAAACTTATAAAATTTATCATAAAAATAAATAAAAAATATAAAAAAGAATAAAATAGAATAATAAAAATGAAAAATATTATGATTCACAAATATATGAGTCACAATTAATAATTATAAACTAATCATGTACAATGTACAATTTTTTATTTTTTAACTTATCGATATGTTAAGAATGATAAATGATTTTATATCTTGTTGATAATCTTTTAAAAAATTTCTAACGAATATATAAAGAAAGAACAAGAAATAAAATCACAGTATCATAGTAGCTAGGAAAAGAATACGATACGAGATTTATTACATCTTTACATCGAAAATGAAAGGTAAGATAACTGTAACAAATTGCAATAAATTTATACATGCTTTTATAAGTCATTAATGACTATGTAAGTCATTAACAAAAGAAATAAACATTATATATTCATATACATTTCGCTTTCACTATAAATAAATAATTCTATCTCTTTGAAACTATTCTAGTTTTTTAAAAATTTTACTTAACTAGTTAAAAAACTTAATTAGTTAAAAGTTAAAACATAATGAGAAGATCTTTATTCAATTTTATTCAGAAAAAAAAATTTATGACTTTTTTTTTATGAAAAAGCGAGAATTTTTTTTTATTTTTAATTATCAATAATTAAGAAAACAAACTTGAAAATGCAATTTTAATATTCTTAATTTTTTTATTTTGTCTTTTCATTTGATCGGAAGAATCATTTCTTAAATTTTTAGACATTTATGCATTACGAGACATACATTATATTATAATATGTACCTATTTTATGTAAAAATTCTATCGAAATTTGTAATGTTACATTAATTTAATAAATTGCAAAATTTAACATTAATCAAGATTATCTGACATCTATTTCAGCAACATTAGCAGCATTTGTAGCAATATTTGCTGCAATTTTAGTTTTCGTTTCTGCCGAAATACCAACTTCATGTCCAGAAGAAAATGGAGAAGATGCTATTCTACTTCCAAATCCAGATGATTGCTCAACCTTTTATGAATGCAACGAAGGAAAGCCATTCTTAATGGAATGCAGTCCAGGACTTGAGTACAATCCTGAGTTAAGAGTATGCGATTATCCAAATCCCAATGCAACTTGCATACATCGCCCCCCAAGTTCATCCACAAAAAATCCTGATCCTCAACATCGACCGACAAGTCAGGTACCATCTAAACGTCCACCACCACCAACAAGCAGTCCGAAACCACGTCCTACACCACGTCCTACACCACGTCCTACACCACCACCATCCAGTCCGCGACCACCAAAGCCATGCCATCCATCAAAACCATGCAGACCATCAAAACAACCATGCAGACCACGTCCTCCATCAAAGAAACCATGCAAACGTCCTTTACCATCATTCTATCCTAACTCATATTTTTCTCCTAATTGGTGGCCTCTTCCACGAGAATACTATGAAAAATATAATGAAAACATATCAAATGAAGAATATGAAAATGAAGAATATGAAAATGAAGAATATGATTATGATTTAGATGAAGAGTAATCTTGGCACAATTTGTTAATGTTATATTGAAATTGAAATTTCTAAAATCTAAAATATATTAAATGTATTGATAATATAAAATGTTGAAAAAATAAATTGATTAAACTTTAATAAAAAACTGCATTTTTTTAAATTTAATTTTTATTTTTTTTATTCATTCCAACCTTTTCAAATTTATAAAATTCATTCAGTTTTATATTCTATATTATAATAAAATAAGAAAAAGAAAGATTAAATTTAAAAAAAATATTGATTGATACAACTTATTATTTGTTATTAAAATGTTAGATTAAATTTTTTATTGTTAAAATTTATGAGATTAAAAATATTAAAAAATTTAACACATTCATTTAATTTCACTATTGAAAGATTTATATATGATATTATATATATAATAAATGTCTTTTAATTATATACATACAATATGTATAAAAAATGATACTTTACATTATAGTAAAAAGGAAAGAAAAAAATATAATGAAATCTTATCGAATAAATAAAACATATATATATTTAAACTTTATCTCACAAACTATCCATTAGATAATAAAATAAGATAGTAGAAAATTAGATAATAAAATAAAATTAAAAATAAAAATATTAATTCAATGAAGAATCAGAGTTTTATCAATTAAATATGATATAATTTTATTGACGACTTTATAAGATTTTTAAAATATTTATATATGTGTATATTTACTTATGTATATATATTACGTATATGTATCTTTATATATATTCTTCTAAAACAATTATAACTAACAGTAGATTATCATTATTATTATTATATTATCACTAATAATTATTTTTATACAATTTTATACTTTTTGTATGCACTTAATTATTATTATTTCAATAGAAC